AATCTTCACCGCCACTTCTATCTTCATCGCCACTTCCATCTTCACCGCCACTTCCATCTTCACCGTCACTTCCATCTTCACCGTCACTTCCATCTTCACCGTCACTTCCATCTTCACCGTCACTTCCATCTTCACCGTCACTTCCATCTTGACTGTCACTTCTACATCCACCGCCACTTGTATCTCCACCGCTACTTCTATCTCCACTGCCTCTTATATATCAACCGTCACTTCTACCTCTACTGGCACCACTTCTTTCTCCATTGCCACTTCTATCTCTACTGCCACATGCATTGGGTGTTCAAGTATTGTGAAATTCAAAGATGCCTAACAATTGATTTGGGGTGTGTTGGAGGTGAGCAATGCGTATGTATCGCAGGTCTCAGTATTAAAAACCACAATGCCACACCAGCATTAAATAACTGTGAATAACAGTTCAATAAATGTGTTTTGAACAGAAAAACGAAATACATTTCTTGACGTTTCTGTGATGGTATTTCACCATCCCTTCAATATCGCCATCATTTATCAAATAATCATGTTTGTTCTCATTTTCTTAGCAATGTATGAGACTTGGCGAACTCATTGAATGTGACAAGTGATTTAGCTTATACAGAATAAATTACAAAAATCTCAAACGATGTGAAATTCACACATTTTGCTTATTTGACAGTCATTTTGCTAAAACAGATTTTACTTTCAATAATTTTTAAGACTGAAAAGATCTGAAGTCATTCTGAATAAAAAACCTGATTGATAGGTTAGTTTTGTATATATTGTCTTAAGAATACTCACTGACAATCAGTATCACGTTTCGCAGACTGAGACCCCATTGATTGCCTCGAGATCGTAATGCATAATTATGTTCTCTGGCTCAAGAACAAACGATGATAATTCAGACTGACTCGGTGCCGACTCAGAAATCTCTCCTAAGAACATCAAGAATGTCAAAAAGCGTAGAAACATGTATTATTTCTAAACAGACTACGATATTGAATGTTTATTATGCTGAGAGCTTTATGCACATGTACCTGACTTTATAAACGACTTTTTTTAATAGTTTCGTTTAAGGAAATAGTTAACTTTTTTTAAATTTTAAGAAAAGGTTAGTTCATTTTTTCGTCTGGAGGAGAAAGTCTGATAAAAAAAATTCTGTAATACAAACGTGTCTCGCCACAAGACATTCCTAGTTTTTGTGTGAAGTATTTTATTTCGAGCTTTGCATCACAGTCGATGTATTTTCTTTACTTTTCTTTTCAAATTCTAAAATCTGGTATTCACGGAATCGTTTTGCCAATTGTTTTTTCGTGCAAAATAATTAATACATAGAACATATTTAAAATTCGTTGGCCCACTTGTCCCTTGGTTACATTCACTATCATGTTTTGTCTCTCTTCATTATCCATGGTACTTTCACTTTCACTCTCTTTTTAGTTTTTAGTACAGAGAGATTTGATTACGTAACATTTATTTGATTGCTCAAACTAACGTTACATTATATTTCCCCCTATTTTTACTTTTACTTTTTTTTCTGTTCCAATATAGTTTGAAAAGTATTTCATCTTTAACAAATTGTAGATCAACACTCATGTTGGTTTAGTTCCTGGCTACATCGTTGTTTTTTTTGTATTCACTCAAACACACCGGCCAGTCATGTGTATAGCAAACCATATACTGTCCTATATTATCATTCAATAAAGTGACCTGAATCTGATGTTTGCCTATGTATGATTCCCATATCCTTTTTCATAAACACTCGCCGTTATTTTGCGTTTCTGTCGACTGTTGTGTGCAATTCTCTTAACAAGTCATCTATTTGCGGTATGATCTATCTACTGCTCTCTGCATTTATGACGTTGATACTGTCTTGATGTGTTCCTGCCATTGCAATATATTGCCTCTTCTAATGTAACGCCATTTCACTCTCTACTTCAACAGCACCGGCATTTTCACTAATCATTTCCAAACCCCATAGTAAGAATGTAATTTTTATTTTTCACCATTCATGGAGTACACGTCACTGTTATCAGTTTCACTACAGCTACCGCCTGTACCACAGTCACCAACCATCGCCGTAACACAATCCGATAGTCGAAATAGTTCCACGAAGTACAATTTTCGACCATCAGTATCACCATCAATATCATCCTCCACCGTCTCCTTTATCATAACTTTTCCCCTCTCATTATCATGACGTCAACCACCGCCATCACCTTCATTCTCACGACCACAACCTCGACTGCCTCTTCCCAACTTTTCCTCCTCATGATGTAGCGAATGCTGCCTCTTCCCGAACTCTACCTCCACGTGTCAGTGCCTCCAGCACCTTGCTACCGGTGTGTCGACGAACCACCTTCCCGTTTCTAACACTAGCGCCATCTCCACACAAGGGGGGAGGTGGCTTAGGTCATTGACTGATGGCCCTGCAGTGTTTCTGACCGGGAGGTCCCAGGTTCAAGTTCCAAGAATGGCAGGATTTTCGATACTAGCTTGTCAACTAATTCGAGTTCCGGCGCTGTGTGGAGGAGATTTCTAGCAGCCGTCTGCTCTGTTCGGTAGATTTCCCTGGTTTCTCCGATCAACACCAGGCGAATGCCGGAGCAGTATCCTATCAAACGGGCCACGGACCGCGTGCGATCTTTCCTACCGCATCCTTGTCCTATCCTCACTCCTGACACACACATACACTAATGTGCAGTAAAGTACCACATATGCCGGGAGACCGTTCGCGACTACACTTAGAGCTTGTTCCGGCTGGGACGGTGCCCCGTTGGTGAGAGATACCTGATTGTGGAAAATCCCCTAGTCCATGGTAGGTCGGCGCCAGATCTCACCATCCAGCGGGAGAAGACCACCGGCACGTCCCGAAAACAACACGCACTACACTTACGGGACTAATGACCTTTGTCGTTTGCGCGCCGGGAATCACTAATCAAGCGTTCAATCTTCCTCCACGCACCCGTGTCTCCAGCACCGAGCTTCCTATGTATCGACGATCGACATTCCCATT